GAGAGAGAGAGAGAGAGAGAGAGAGAGAGAGAGAGAGAGAGAGAGAGAGAGAGAGAGAGAGATGAAGAGAGAATGGAACTCTGCATATTGGGGGGAAGAGAAAACAAGAACACAAAGAAAGCTGCTTCCGTGCCTACATGGTGAGTATTTATTAGAGGTGACAATGTGGGGGAAAAGAGAGAGAAAAGTGGTATCCAACTACAGTAAAAAATCATAGGTACTGATTAACACTGCTAACTAAAAACTGGATCATGTTATTAATTACTCAATGAGATAGAAATTAACACCCAAATGGGTCTGCTGATCCATATTAAGGGTCTTGGTCAGGCCAAAGTGAAGACCTTGTATCAACTTCAGATCTAAATGCATCTGCTTGCTCCAATTGTCAAAATCACAGTTTTTTCAAGGTTCTGAATCTGTGTAATCTCAATACTTTTCCTTTTTCAAATCAAATAAGAACCTAATTTAACATCCTTGAATGTGTTTCTGATAGCGATGACATAAACAAATTACAAAGCAAATCAAGACAGCACCAAAGCTAATCTTAACTTGATTAGATCAGGTCATCTCAGCAGGTATGGAAAAAGTTGCAGCTAACCTAAAGAGAAGCAAACATAGAACTTAACCTCAGACTATAGACTGAAAGATGCTAGCACAAATCTTCGATTCATTGAAGTAATTTACGAGGGATGATCTAGATAAATATGTTCACTTGCAACTTGACTCACTACTCAGAAAGATTTGAGAAATACAGTACATAAAGTTGACTCATATTTATGAAATAGACAAATATACTCTACTCTACTCTCATAATAAGAGAACTCACCAGATTATCAAGTATCATGTCAGACCATCAATCGTAAGTCCAGTATGATAAAAATTGATCAAGTAATGTAAAGCATACCTGGTCGAGATCCATCAGCAATAGCAAATGAAAGAGTTCTTATGTGATCAGCAACCACCCTATATGCCATATCAACCCTATCAGCATCATCTACCCCAACTTTTCCAGCATATGGTGGAGCACCAGTTGCCTGAAAGGGATAAAATCTTGCTTCGTAAGAATTATTTCCTGGATAAAAAAAATAATTTGTTCCTCATAGGAAATCCAGGAAATTGTCGGGTACTATTATGAAACTGTTAAATATCTTAACATTTGAATCGATAAAGTGCACTGTGTTAGGATAATACTATAAATGTTAAATATCTTAACATTTAAATCAAGAAAGGGGCATTGTATTATGATCATACTTTCTGGATTGTGTCAAATATAGGCATGAATACATCAGTATCATAGTTGCTCATTTTTTGCTGAAGGATAGAAGTCAAACGTTCAAATCCCAAACCAGTGTCAACATGTTTGGCAGGCAAGGGCTTAAGGCTGCCATCTGCTTCCCTATTGAACTGCACAAAATTAGAAAACCATAAATCTCACTTGATATTATTATGTAAAAAGACTACAAACACAACAGGATAGATGAGACATAAATAAAGAATGATTAGTACTAACAATCTCACCTGAATAAAGACAAGGTTCCAAATCTCTATGCATGTAGGATCATCATTATTGACCAAGGATGCAGCATCACGATCACCTATGCGATCAAAATGGATTTCTGTGCAAGGTCCACAGGGGCCAGTATCACCCATTTCCCAGAAATTGTCCTGCATCCACCAATATTACCTAGTATCAATGTGGCAAGAACTCCCCATAACCAAGTCCACATCCATTTCATCAAATGATGGAAGCAGAAAACTAAAAACAAGAAGCATGTGAAAATATCATTTCTAACTGACAAAAAAAGGATTGTGGCACCCAAACAAAATATGCACAGCATTTTCTAAGTAGTCACTGATGACCATCAATGTTTTAAATATCGGTTATCGTAAATATATCGGATGGCCAAAATTCATATCGGATCCTAGTTATCGGGATATGTAAAGGATAAGTACTAAAAATCGGAGTGTTACTTTGAATGGTGACCATATATAATATAATGTCTTAAAAAGTAATCTAAGCACATTTAATGAAACATAAACGTGCTAATATGTAAATAAGACATGTTTTTGTTTAGTGGAAGCGAAATAGAATAGAATAGTATTGTTTTTGTTTAGTGGAAGCGAAATAGAATAGAATAGTATTGTTTTTGTTTAGTGGAAGCGAAATAGAATAGGATAGTATTGTTTTTGTTTAGCGTATGCGGGTCGAATATGGAAAAAAGATGGGTTTTTTGTTTCCAAACGTGAACCAGTTCACTTAGAATGTAAATTGTAGAAAATCGGGTGATTTTAGCCCACGAAAAAATCAGCCGCTTTATCAGATTTACACTGATATATTGGGAAAAATCAGCCCAAACTACATGCAATATATTTTGAAAAAATCGTATCGGCCATAGCCCAAACCTTATATATCAGGGATAAATCGATAAAATCGACCTATATTTAAAACATTGATGACCATTAATATATAACGTCAATACTGCATGAAGAAGCCGGATGAACTGGAATTGAATAATGGGTAGAATTGATGGATCCTGCACCAGAAAAGCTAAAAGGAAACTGAGGTGCACCTTAAAGAAAGAAGTATCAAAGTGCTTCAAAATTGTAAACGAAGGTGATGGGGATCTGACGGTTCGTGTTTATTCAATAGGAACATGGTGTCATCATTAATTTAGATTAGTTACGAATTCTAATAGTAGTTGAATTTTAAATTCTATATAGTTGATTTAAAGTGGGAGTAGAACTTCATTTGAGTTTGAATTTCAGTTTTGAATTGTATTAGAAATAGGATTTTAAATCCTATATAAAGGGATTGTTCATTGTATTCAGAGTTTTCGAAGAATAAAGAATAAAATTTGAGAATTGAGGAAATATTGAAGTGATTCCAAATGATAGGTGTTGTGAGCGATTCCAGCCTGTTCTGAATGTTATTTTCTTTTATTTTCAGCCATTCATCTAATGTCATAGGCCTTCTCACAATTAATCTCTTCCACTCATCAAAACAAAGCCCATTGCCACATCATCCTAAAACCCACGTGAACTCAGATTTCTCTCTGCTTCTCTGTTTCAGGGAAGAACAAAAGGTGAGTCCAGGAATCCAACTCGTCATCTTCTTTGCGCAAACACCAGATCATCATCAACTTCATTTCCTCTCGATTTCAACCATTCATCTCATATTCTCCTCAACCTCGATAAGTACCAGAAACACAAAACCCTAGCTATGTTGCTTCATCTTCAAGAACTGTTTTATTCTGTTGCAGCTTCAATTGGAGTCCATGATCAGATCCGAACAATTTGAATTCGAACGGTAACTAGTCCAGGCTTGTGATTTGTTACAGATCCTCATGTTGAAGGTCTTTTGCAAATCTATTTCAAAGGATTTCAATTCAAATGTTTAGCGCCCAAAAGAAATTGTGAACTGATCAGAAGCTCTTCACACGCTTCAGGTCGAATTCAAACTTATCCTTCACTTCTGCAATATCTTGTTATCGTTTATACTATCAGTTGTCAATTTATTAAGTTTTATTATAGATAGTTATATTCCACTATTCTTTATATTTAATCTACATCTACATTGCATTGAGTCAGTTGTTTCGAGCCTATAGATTTGTCCTGCGTAAGGAATTCCTTAGTTTTTCCCCCATCAAAATTTCAGAAAGAGGAAATATTGTTAACAATTTGGTGAAGTGTCGTGTGTCATCGGGTATTACCATAATGCATATTGCATATGAAAAGGATGTCAGAATTCCTAATGTGGAAATCAATTGATTCTCTGTTCAGTGTGTGCGCATTTGTGTGTGTGTGAGAGAGAGAGAGAGATAGAGAGAGAGAGGATGTGTGTGTGTGATGGCTATCATCTAAAACAAATTTCAGAAGTTATATACAGTTGGCTCAACAAAAAATGGCTGGCAGAAATGACATAAAAATTCCATATAATGGATACGGCAACTGCATGAGATGATGGCACTTTCAAAGAGACATTACAGACCGCGTAGCGTGTATATTAGTTATTATGCTTTTGAATTAGAATGTTATGTGACCAAACAACCATGTGCCAGTTTGTCAGATCATGCTTATTACTAATTACTGATTTCATTCTAGACCCATAAAGAATGACTTGATGAGATTCATTCTGGATATTGCACGCCATAATATGATAAAAGAAGCATGAAAATTGGCAAGTTATTCAATTATTCAACTTTCATGAGGTAGCCAAGGACAAAATCAGTGAGTACTCATAATTTTTTAAAATTAAGTTACAGATTAGAATGGATCAGAAGTTCTCCAGACTAGCACAGTTCGGGTATAAAACATGACCTATTCTGAGATCCATACCATGATGGGAATATGTTACTCCCCTAATGGTTTTAGGGTGTAGAAAAATGTATATTCCTTGTAAAGGCTTACTCAAATGAAAATGAGGGATTATGCGACAAGTGACAATACATATAGAAATTCATCTAATCTGATGAATTTCCTCCTCCTTTCTATGAGTCAATGGTGGGCTAAAAGATCTAGCACATGGGCATCACTGCATCAGACACGGTATAATACCAAAGTTCTCCATCCCAGCTCTCCAAACAAACCTGTCATCAAAGTTCACACGGATACATGTAGGACCGCAGGTCCAGGTGCAGATACGGCAAATTTGTAAAAGGTAGGATATGGGGACACGACTACACATACACGTATGGATAATCATAATTTACATGAGATCAATATTATTTTTTCATTCATGTGCAATGAAATAAAATTTCTACTTATGTTCTTTTATAAAATAGATATAAATTAGAAATTTGCTCATTTTTCAACTTCATATCCAAAAAACCCATTACAGAGTTTCGAACAGGGCTCGGGCTGAAACAAACCCCATTTATGTCCAAAGAGTTCCAAGAATTGCATGTACAGTATATACTGCCAAGAAATACATGACGTGTTTGAAATTAAAACATGTATTATATAATTGAGTACACACTTGAATAAGTGTGAAAATATCCCAGAAGTGTATAGTGAAGTTTCAGTGTTGAGAATGGGTACGACAGGGGTAAGACTCCAAACAAAAGTAACCATGCAACATAGCCCGTGATGAACTATACATAAAAACTCCATGCCCTGCACTCCTGCATTCTTCTCAGCCCCAGCCAAAAGACTTCTATTAAGATCCAATATTATAACACTTTCCTTGCTAACAAGGTCATATTGTTTAAACCATAAATAGAAAATTCCAACAATTAATGACAGAAAAATCCAACAATTATAGAATCCTCTGCCAGCTATCACCTTCCAACCCAATTATTCCATTCCTTAATGACTCCACTTTAGCATGATAATAAAAATAAGCTTTTGCCGATTTGAAGGCTTAACCAGAAAAGTTTTGCCTGAATAAACAAACAGCAATTATATTCATATTCACATTAAATGTTAGAGGCATTTCTGATGATAACAAATCTTATTTAGACCTAAGAAGGTAGTAGTCTGTTGCAATTTTAAAATTGAAATAGCAATTTTATAATTGCAATTTCTATTGCAATTAATAGCACAATCTGATGATAGCTGGTAAAGTTTTCCTACTCTATATGTAATCGCTCCGATAAATACAGCGAACACGGAAGTTTCCCTCTTCACTATATAAAAATTTAATTCAGTATTTGAAAGGCAATGCGCCCTAGCATCTTAGGCGCTCAGGCGAGATGACATTCTAACTTAGTGCCTTGTATATTGCCAGGTGATGAAGGTTAATAAGGTGAGCGCCTCAAGAGCTCGCCTTAGCGCCCCATAACCTTGCCCTGGCGCCTCAAGTGTGGCGCTAGCCTAAGGCATGTGCTCCAAGACGCATGGTGTTTGTCTCTTGTTCAAATTTTTAAGGGTGTGAAAGGTATCCAATAAAGTAAAGTTTGTTTTTGTTATTGAATTCATATGTTTCTTTTTTCTTGTTCAATTTTTGCCTTCTTTGTTGTAATGTACTTCATTAACTATATCATTTTGAGGACATGCCGCAATTTAAACCTTAAAGTTCAAGGTTTCCTACTTAATAATTTGTGTTAGCAATACTAACTAATATTACTATTCAGTATTTGTTACTACTTCATTTAGATGGTTTATAAATTATTACATTTGTGACTTTGAAAAGTTGGCACTAATTAATTTGTTTTGTTGCTATTTATTGATATTTGCATATTATTTATAATGTTTATGAATTTTTTTGAATATTTATCGCCATGGTTCACTCAAGCAATCGCCTTTTTTAGCACCCCTCACCTCAGGCAATATAGGACCTTATCACCTTCACCTCACCTTTTGATTTTGAAACACAGATTTAATTGTTTACTAAAATTATACTGCTTATGGCAATTTAGTTTACAAGTTCTCGTTTTTTTAGGGAACTACTTTTCTTCTACAATTTCCAATGATATCTAGATATGTTGGAATTCCTAAATCAAAGTGGAAAAAAAAACATAGGCAATAGTATCAATGCATCTTATGTGGATCAGACCTATGCTCTTTAAGCATATCAAACACGTATTGCTTAGGGTGTAATTATATACAAAGTAAGACAAATTTAGTTACCAAGCAGAGGTGAAATGATACACATCCATTATAAGGACACAACGTTTTCAATCAAATAAAATCAAATGGCACTAAAAAAGAGGAAGACATTAGTATTTGATACGAAGGCAATAGCTAATGATTTCTGAGCAAAGTCGGATCGCAGGAAGGCGGGCGACCGAAACAAATAATTTTTGGACAAATTTCAATGTGTAACTTCAGAGGGCCATAACTTTTGACTTGCTCCATAGAATCTTTACTATTGTATATATTCAGAAAGCTTGCAAATCTATCTATAATGATTTCTGAGCGAAGTCGGATTGCGGGAAGGCGGACGATCAAAACAAAAAGGGCAATTTTTAGACAGCTTTCAATGTATAACTTCAGAAGGCCATAACTTTTGACTTGCTCCATAGAATCTTTACTATAGTATGTATTCGGAAAGCTTGAAAAGCTATCTACACCTTGAATGGCTACACCATTTCAAATCAGTTTTAGGGTCAAAGAAGTTGTTTTAAGCTCAAACTATGTGTCGAAGACTTCTAGCTTCCCTTAGTTTCTATTTTTGCATATATCTCTTTATTTTCTTCTAGAGGCCAATTTAGTAATATTGCAATTGTTTCACACCCTATATAAGGGTTTGAATGCTATGTTTAGAATCATCATGGTTATTATTATTTTTTCAAAAGAGTATCTATTCCTAGAGTTTATACAGTTTCATGCCATGTTGCTCGTATGAGAACGAGTTAATTTTACTTACGCTACCGCTACATCAGGACTACACTCTCTTTGGCTCTTACATCTCAACCCACGAAGATGTTCACAAATGACACTTCCTTAAATAAATCTAGTTGACAACCACATTCTACAACTAACCACAATAATGTCAACCACTTACGCGAACAACGTTCAAGATAGAAATTGTCAACTATTTATGCAAACAATGTTCAATATAGGGGGGGGGAGTTTCTGTTGCGGGTCGTGTAAACATTTTAGCAACAACTTACCTTGCAGCCAAATGGCAGAACACGCCCAGGTGGCAGATAGTTAAGCCATATGTCTCTAGCTTCATTATCTGGAGCAAGCCCAACCTTTTCATCTCCACCAAAATAGGTCGCATAGATCCGATCAACAGGCAGTTTAAATACCTTCAATATCAAACACCAGAAACAGAACCAGTCAACAATTAATTCACTTAAAACTTGTCAAATTTCACTTATCTGATTTCAATTCCATCTCCATTTATCTAATTTCAATCTCATCTCCACTCCAATACAAAAAAGAAAATACTGTTCTTCTATTCCAGATTTGTTGAACCAACAAAAGGAATAGAACTTCGGTGCCAAAATAATTTTTTCTTTAAGAAATACGTGGCTCTAAAATGAGAATTCTAAGGAACGGAATGCAAAGATTAAACTTTTCAAGTGATTAATTCAAACCAGCCCCAGAAATTTGTTACAAAATATCAATAACAGTACAGTCTATCCATCAATTGCACAAACCCTAAACCCCAACATTTCCGCATACTTCAGTGAGCAGAACAAATACGGTTCTTTTGGAACTGATAGCAAAGATTAAACCTTTCAAGTAATTTCTCAGTCCCATCTCCCAGACGAAGACAAAAAACCTAGAACCCCCAACACCCCATGAAGAAAAAACCAACAATTTCTTACCTCAGTGAGCAGCTCCCAAGCCCATCCAATCGCCTCCTTCTTAAAATAATCCCCAAACGACCAATTCCCAAGCATCTCAAAGAACGTATGATGATAAGTATCCTTGCCGACATCATCAAGATCGTTATGCTTCCCTCCAGCTCGAATACACTTCTGCGTGTTACAAGCTCGAGTGAGCTTGCCGAGGGGCGTGTTAGGGTTCACAGTCCCCAAAAATATGGGCTTGTACTGATTCATCCCGGCGTTGGCGAAGAGGAGGGTTGGATCGTCGTGGGGGACGACGGGGCTCGATCGCCAGTATGCATGGCCTTTTGATTCGAAGAATTTGACGTAGGTGTCGCGGACTTTGGAGGCCGGCCACTCCATCGGAGGCGAGGATCGGGATTTGGTGGCGGAGGAGAAAACCCTAACCCTAGTTTTTGAGGCGGGGGAGATAAGGGAGCGCTCCTCTTTTAGTGGAGTTTTATACCAGCGGATGCTGATTAGGGGCTGTTTGGAAAAAAAAAAAGTTTTTTTTGGTGAAAGTCTGACATAGTGTCAGGCTTTCACTCTAAAACGCCTCTCAGTGTTAGTCTTTCACCCTAAAACGTTTTTTTTTAGAGGCGTTTTAGGGTGAAAGCCTGACACTGTGTCAGGTTTTCACCCAAAAAACCCCTCTTTTTTTTGTTCCAAACAGCCCCTTAGCGATGGGCTTGGCTTCGGGCTGTGGGTCTAGCTTTTACGGGATTTATTGGGCGCGCGGTTCCTGCGCCGCTCGAGACTAGCGTTAGTCCTGCGCTGTAGGCGTATTCCCCAGTTGGCATCTCTTAAATATTTAATACTGTTTGGTTAAGGAGATGAGATTTAATCCCTTTTTAACCCGCCAAACATAAAAAAAATTTACAATGTTAAAGTGAGTTAATCTTTCATAATTTGTCAAACATAAAAATATAGAATGGTTAAGCTAACCCCTCTAGATGGATTAAAATGAGTTAACCCCTCAAAATGAGGGGTTTACTAATACTCCCTAACCCCTCTAGATGGATTAAAATGAGTTAACCCCTCAAAATGAGGGGTTTACTAATACTCCTATTTAGAATGATTAAGAGTTAGTTAACCCCTCAAAATGAGGGGTTTACTAATACTCCTATTTAGAATGATTAAGAGTTAATCATTCTAATCATAAAGAAAATAGTCAAAATCATTGTTATTCCTAAACACTAAAACTGATCACAATGGCTAAAATAAAACTTATTTAACGGGTTAATAATTTAGTTCTTCAGATTATCGAATGGACTAAGTACATTAATCCTTCTTTTTAACCCCTCTTCCTTAACCCTTTGCCAAACGGGGCCTTAGATAATTTTCATCATCCAAGCTCCTTAATTAGTAGAACTTTTATAGATAGTGCCGAGAAAAGAATGCTAAACTCTCTATTTCAAGAAGAAGAAAAATTCGTACTTCCATGAAAAATTTGCTATAGTTGTCCTTTCCCTTGTATCAGTTTTAAGCTTCCATATCATAATCCCAAAAAATAGATAGATCTCTTATCCTTGTTGTTTCGCTTCTTGGAGGGTTTGAACATAAGCCAGTCAAATGATCTCTATTGTGCTACAAGATGCTTTTTATGCAGAAAATAGGTAAGTTATCAAATATTGGTTTCAGAAAAAATTCCCCCTAATGTTATTCTTTCAGTAATATCAACTCTCCAGCTTATGACAATAGGGATTGAGTAATAATAATAACTAATAAGGTTCCTGGTCCAAGTAGAAATTAGTTTAAAATTTCCTCATTATTATTATTATTATTATTATTATTATTATTATTATTATTATTTTGAACATCAATAACTACATGATTAGCTACTTCTACAGCAGCAAAACACTTTTTGAAACACTAGCAATAAGTATTTATGGATCGGGTAAATTACAGATTGTCAAATACACTTTTGAGGGGAAACATAAAGTTTAGAATGAAGATGTGATGCCCCTAATCTCACACAATGCTGCAGTCCAAGGTGAACCCAATGATGTCAAACCTATCATGCACCCAACACTGTGTAACAACATGTTTCACCATCACAGTAATATCTCTCTAGTAGAATCAAATACAAGAAGCGATGGTACAAGTAGATATAGTAAAAATAATAATACAAGGAATACAATATAGAGAAGAGATCTAATGATAAATGTAATCATGTTCCAACTAAAGAAAAGAAAGTACATCCAATAAACCGAAATTAAGACAGTGAATCTCTAATACAAAAGAGTCAACAGAAATGTATATAGGCACTGAGACGCAAAAGAAATACATCTCTATAAGGGAAATAAAATCATAATGTCTACTGTGAAGCGCTAACTAGCTACTAATAAATGATGACGAACTATGCTGAGTCTCTGTCAACCTGTAAGTCTCTGAACCCCTGACTCGCTGCCTTAAAAAGATGGAAACAACGAGCGTCAAAGTGCTAGCGAGAACATTTCCACCGCCCCCAGGGAGAAGGGGTTGGGTGTATAAAAATACAAGTTATAGCATATATAAATATATAAATCCTACATCCTGAACTAAGAGGAATTAATATTTAGAAATCAATAACGCGAGAATGAGTACGTCGAGCGAAATAATCCAAACAGGGAAACCCTCATATATATACTATGTATCTCAAATTATGGATCGCTAAATATCAACTCCAAGATCCTATGAATAAAATAATTAACAAAAGAACAATACATTACCGAGCCTCATCCACAACAAATTATATCATAACAACTCACATTTCCCTCGGGTAGTTGGCACGGGAACAAAAATGAATATTCGATAAAAGATCTCGTCTTGGATATGTAGTACATAACAAAACATAGTCTTATACTCTACCCTCGAGGTAGGTAACACGAGAGCAAAATTACAATCTTGTATGATCCTCTACAAAGAAAAATGGTATGGAGTATAGATGCTCACAATATTATGTGGCCCATCGCAATATTTTGTGGTTCACTATCTTACTTGAATACCCTGTGGAGTATAGGCATATCAAACCAATTCGGAACACAATGATGCATTAGGAAGTGTAGTCCACTGTGGTCTCATTGCAGTATACCAACTAACACACTCTGAGTGAAGTCAATCCATGTTCTCATTGCGGTGCACCAACTAACCCACTTAAGCATCCAAAACAACCGTAAAATGAGATAAATGTTACTCTATCATGAAAAGCTCAAATATTAAACTACGCGCCTCCAAACGCTCGTGCATGCTCAAACCCAACACATGCTCTCTTGGTCACGTACGTGCGCGTAACTCGTATTTCATGCTGGCGATCAAAAGCATGTGGTAAAATAACTTGTGCAAAATGGTTCAAATCGGTCGACCGACATAACCCATCGGTCGACCGGCAGTAACAACATGCACACACATATAAGCTTCGGTTGGTCATCTGATTTCCTAGGTCAGTCGACCGACTAGAGGAAATTTCTCAATTTCCTGCAGACTAATCGGTCGACCAATTTCTTTGATCGGTCGACCAATGCTGGTGACAAAACACAATTCGGGTTTTTCTTCTCTATCATGAACAAAAAACGAAAATTCTCAAAAGAACTCACGTATAAATCTTGATTTAGTATAATTAGGGTTTAATTTGTCACATGAAATCACAAATATAAAGATTTAGTGATACGGGTGTATCTTCTCTTTGGAACTTAGCGATCCTCATGGGAGCTTGAGGATAGAGATTCTCATACTAGCATGAGAATAGGGGGTGTCAAACAGTATAAGGGAACACAGGAGGAAGCGTGGAATAAGACGACGAGCAGAAGAATCGAAGTACCCAGTTTTCAGCCTGTGAGTCGACTCATGACTGTTATGAGTCGACTCATCAGGTTGAGTCGACTCATGACTGACATGAGTCGACTAATCGCTGGTTATTGAGATTTCTCCAGTTTCTGTCGAGTCGACTCATGACTGACATGAGTCGACTCATCGCTGGTTATTGAGATTTCTCCAGTTTCTGTCGAGTCGACTCATCTCAGTCATGAGTCGACTCATCGATGGTTTCCTGGTTCGTTTGGGATTCTGTTCACGCGTTTTCCTGTTGGTTTTGGGTCTGGTTATTTACCAAACTACCATCCACGTTTGTACACCTATATAAGGGATTGTTTTAGGGTTTCTAAAGATCTTCTTTTTAGGTCAGAGAGTTTAATCAAGAGAGATTAGATTCTAGATTGAGATTTGGAGAGCTTGTTCTTCAATTCTAGAGTGAGATTGTGAGTGAGAGATTGTAATCTTTTGTTCTTCATAATCTAGAGAAGGTATTTTCCTTCGCCAAACTGAATTGTTCTTGTGTTTTGGTCGTCCTCTTCTCAACCCACCTTTTGGTAATTCCGCGACCAAAGGGTGCTTGCACGGCAACTCGTATCAAGTTGGTATCAGAGCCTCAGATCCGGTGAAGGGGCATCCTGTGTATGGTCCTTACTTGATCCCAATACAAGGAGCTTGGCGAGATCCTTATTTCATTGGAAGGAGTCCGAGTTTTAAGGAAGAAGAAGATGGCTGAAGGAGACAATTCAACGAGGATTGATGCATTAGAGAAGCAGATCGAGATGATAGGTTCGACTCTCACACAACTCGTCAGTCTTATCCATGGAGGTGGCAAACAAGGTGAATCTTCTTCGAAGAAAATTATTGAGTCTGATGTGGAAAGGGTAGATTCAGATTCCGACGAGGAGGAGGAGACCATTAAGACTGTATTGCATTAAGGTGGTAAGAATTCTTATCAGAACCTGAAGATTGACTTTAAGGTGGAGATTCCTGTTTATGATGGGAGTGTTGACGTCGAGAGGCTTGATGACTGGATCGAGCGGATGGAGACGTATTTTACTCTTTATGGCTATTCGTCGAAAGAGAAGATTGTGTTCGCAACTTTGAAGCTTTCAGGGCACGCGTTGACATTGAACAAGTTCAATGAGCTACTTAGGAAGCAGTTCTACCCGGTGGGATTCCTTGAAGAACGTTGGTACAAGTGGTACGGCTTGCGCCAAAGGGTCAATCAAACCGTTCAAGAATACACTACGGAGTTCCAGCAGCAGGCGATGGTCCTCAACATTGCGACAGAGGAATATTCCGTGTTTATGAAGTATATGGCAGGATTGAGCGATCACATCCGAAAGGAAATGAGGCTATTCACGGTGGAATCAATTGCAGAGGCGAGCGTGAAGGCAATTGCCATTGAGGGTAGGCAAAAGAAGGGCAACGAGGCTAAGGGAGACTCCAAACAGACGGGAGGCGAGTCTAGTGGTTCTCAATCTAAGGAGGAGAAGAAAAAGGGTGATCCAGGGAAAGCAGGACTGATTTGTAGTCACTGCGAGAAGACAGGGCACGAAGCTGATCGGTGCTGGGAGAAGTATCCTCATCTGAAACCAAGAGGGTTGAAGAGGAAGGAGGAGAAAAAGGCATACATGATAGCT